AGTATGGACTGAAACCTCCAAAAAATGTGAGCTAAATAAACCTTTCCTTCCTTAATTTTGGGCATCAGGTATTTTGTCTCAGCAATGAGAGAAAAGTAGCAAAGACAGCCAGAGTAGAGAGTGTCAAGCAGTTTGCTGCACTTAGTACCAGTACTTTCAGATCTAGTCTTCTCAAAAGTCACACATTAATTGCCTGGATTCTTACCAAGTGACGGTGGGAACATTTTGTCCTTTCCAGCCTGAGTTTAAACTCCTCAGGGGGTCTCTGTCTAGCTGGTACCTTCTCTACAATGATTTCTTGTGCCCATCTCCCACCCAGTTTCTACAGTAGGGTGACCCTTCACCCCGGATCTATAGTTGTTCTGTAGTTGTTTTGTGTTTCAGTCTTAATTAGCCCCTTTCTCGAATGGTTCATGATTAAACACTTTCAAACATGGTAGGCATTGCACTGGATTTCTTCTCCAACTCTTGCCTGTCATACAGAAGGAGTTACTTTCAGGGCAAAAAACCATATTGGTTTTTGTAGTTTATAGTAACAGGTTTTCCTTGAAGCTTGTGCTTCCAACCTGGTCCCTTGGTTCTCCCTGGAGCTGTCAACCCTCTCTGGGCTTAACTTGTGTTAGTGAAGACAGGTGCTCCTCCCTAGGAGCTTGGGTTAGCATTCTAGACTTCTTTCTTTTCTGTGTTGTGTTCAGTTTCTCTAGCTTCTCTATATTTTCTAAATTTCCTGTTGCCTCTTTCTTGAGTCCTAGAGATCTGCTTCTTTTTTCATTCACTAAGTTGTTGCTTTCCAAGTGTCTTGAATCCAGGTCTTGCATAGTCTGTGTTTTGCTGCCAGTCTTTACCATTCTTAACTCCTCTTTATTTTTGTGTTGTTTTACACTTACTGATTTAAGTATGTTCAACCATCTTATATCCCTGAAATGAAACTAACTTGATCATTATGTACAGTTTTTAAATGTATTTTTGAATTAGATTTGCCATGCTGTATCAAGTTTTTTTTGCGTCTCTGTTCATCAAGGATATTAGTATGTAATTTTCTAAAAAAAAAAAAAAAAGTATGTAATTTTCTGTTTTCTTGTGTCCTTATAGGTTTTCATAGCATGACAACAATGATTCTGTAGAATGAGTTTGGAAGGGTTTCTTCCCTTTCTATTTTATAGAAGCATTTGAGGAATACTTGTACCTATTTTTCTTAAAACCAGTACAATTCAGAACCAGAAGACTCTGGTGGGCTGGAGAGATTGCTGGTGATTCCTCCCTTCATGCAGAAGGCCTGGGTGAGCCTGCAATGCTGCATCCTGCGCAGCTCTCAAAGTTCGCGGGGCATGGGGACAGACAGCAAAAGGATGGAGAAATAAAAAAGACAGAAAACTGAGGTCAGGTGGAGCCCCCTCTTTGGCTGAGAGGAAAGGAAATGCTCAACCACCATAGAGCATTTATTTATACTCTCAGGAGACTGATGTCAATTTCAACCCCTCTGCCTAGCAACTCTGTATGGCTCAACTGAGCACCGTGAAATTTTCTGAACTGGAATGGCTTGTTTTCATTGCTTGCTTCACACGTGTGATCAATCTCTAGCTTTAGCCGCTCCCTACACTGCAAGATCTCTTGTGACCCTGCCACTTCGTCCACAGGACCCTGGAGAGATGAGAGATCAGAGATCACTGGTGACTCCCCCTTCATCCAAAAATCCCTGGTAGGCCAGAGAGATTGTGGATGACCCCTCCATCCATCCAGAGACCCCTGGCAGGCTGGCAAGATTACCAGTGGCACAGTAGGGCCCCAGCTGGGGTGCACACAATAGGAAGGTGGGACTGGCAGCCCAAAAAAGTTCAAAGCAGCAGTAACAATACAAGCCAACAGTTAGTAAGTTAGGTGAACCAGCATAGTGTGTGGGCACAAAAACATGCAGAATAGAAGTAGGCAGGTAGGGCTAACATTCCCAGCATATATATATCAGGGTCTGTATCACTAAGTTGCCAGGGACTGGACTCAAAGCTCATCCTCCTACCTCACCATCCCAAAGTGCTGGGATTTCCGGCATCAGCCACTAGACCTGGCTTCACTATACTTTTAAAAGACATTATGACCCCATGTGTAGTAATGTACCAGTCAAGAGAATAAATGAATAAATATTATTTACTCTCCCTTCCTTCTCCAGCACACAGTAAGAAACAAACAATTGTTATGGGATTTTTATTATGGCCAATTAGATTATCTGTGTAGTGTGCTTAGGAAATCACATAGTACCTAGCAAGAACCCAACAAACATTTACTGTTAGAATGGTAAAATGATAAAAATTCACCTTGATCTCTTATCAGAAGACCTTGATTTAGGAAAAAGAAACTACCAGCCTAATTAATCTTCACATTTTCTAAAAGAATTTGGCATTGTCAGAGAATAAAGCCCCTTCTGAAGACAGGGAAAAAAGTTGTGGTGTATGTGCAGTGAAGTTTTGAATTTGACAGATTTCTTTCCACAACATAGAAATAAAAATCGCATGTCAGTTCAGACAGGAGCTGGTATAGCTGACTGGTAAGTTATTATTCTTCCATGCTTGTTACTTCCAAAATGTGTTTGTGAACTTCTTTCAAAGCTTAGATGAAGATTAAGTCAAAAGAAAAATAAAATGCTTCAAATAAAATCCCCCCCCCTTTTTTCTCTTTTTTTTTTTTTTTCCCTCGAAAGGGCTGTGGAGAACTCCAGCCATAGAAGACTAGCCCCATCCCCCTAATCCAGCGGCCAAAACTAGTCTCACACCCAGCACAAGCCCATGTGCAAGCTTGGCTGGAGTACACATTTCCAGGATCTCACTTGGAGCTAGCACAGAACTGTAGACACTAGAGGAATTTTACTACTTTTACCTTTCCCTGTCTAATTGGTTTTCCTCTTTGTGTAGGGCTGGGTTGGTGGGGTTTTGTTTGTTTTTTTGTGTTGGTTTGTTTTCCTTGTTCTATTCTGTCCTGTTTTACTTTTCTTTCTACATGTTTGTGTGTGTGTTCTTTTATTCGTGTGTGTGGTTGTTTTTGTTTTCTGCTTTTTCTTCTTTTCTCTTTCTTTCATGACTTAGATCTCTAGCCCTTCATTTGGTTTACTTCTACTCATCCTCTTCCACCCTTTTGTCAACTACTTCACTTGGTTTTATGGTACTTTCATGCAGGCAAACATTATCTGTTATCCTTAGGGTTCACATCAGTTCTTTTAGGCTTTCTCTTCCAACCCTTCCCTCTTGTATCCTACAATTACCCAAAACTTGGATGATCACCCTTTACCCTCCAGTTTCACTTCTGCTATATTTAACCTCATTAATCTCTCCATCCTACTCCCTATTCCTTTTAACCCCTCCCCACACACACAACAGGGTAAAATCTCTCTAACAAGTTTAAAATTATTGCATACAAATTTCTGGGACAAGTTGGATTATATTATATAACTGTAGAACTTGCTCCTATGGTTAAAGGCATCAGGCTAATAGTTACCACAGTTTGTCAATAGCCAGGCTGTGCTTGAGTATATTTTTATTGCTAAATACACTGCTTTAACCAGAGTGTCATACCAGTTATAATGTTTTTCTCCCCCATATGACAACACTGCAATTTAAAGGGGTCATAACCATCACCACAGTCCAGTACCAAAGGAATGGGTCCTGAGTCAAATAGATAACAACTTCACACTCTTAATGTATTGGGAGGTAACATAAAGGCCAAGAGCCTCTTTATTCACATCTTAAAATAGACTCCTGAGGGAGGACATTGTTTAACCTAAAGAATGTTACATTAATAGGGGAATCTCTAGCCCAAACCCATGAAATTCTTAATGAGTAAGGTGCACCCAGCACTAGTAATACCATGTTTTTCTGTCTTGGGGGAAAGATATGGATCCTTGGGAGTGTTAGTAGAACAGACGAGGGAGCTGTCAGTTTAGCCCAATGTTAGCTGGTCACACTGTAGGGCTGACAGTGAAGCAGACAATGCCCACCAACCAGTCTGTTAGTTTCCTCCACAATAGTTCCTGTTACAGTTCCCGTTACTTCTGTCTCCTAGAAATGGCTGGTTACTGTGATGTATATTGTAAGAACCAATCAAAGAAAGCCAAGTACTCTGTTTCTTGCTTGCTGACCCCGTAAAACCCTCCCTCTCTGAGTCTCTGGAGCCTGGTATTTTTTTCTTGAGGTCAGTGCTCATCAATGTGAATAAATCTGCCTACAAATCCTGGGTGTCATTTCAGTGTTTCTGTTTGTAGAGCAACAGTAGATAGGTTAGACTGACAGTGGATTGGAAAGGAGGAAATCATATGTCTGTTGTTTATGCATTGTTTTTTAAATTTCTGTGTGTTTTCTTCCTGGTCCTAGGTAAGGACAAGCTTTGCAGATTTTCAATTCCTTCTGACTTGAATTCTGCAGCACTTGGGCTGATGACTGGATTTCTAACACCAAGCTCTAGGAATGAAGCTCTTATTCCTGGTTCTGCTCTCCTTCACACCCCAGGAACTCATTTTCTAGGTCCTTTTTTCTCTCCACTGAGGAGACTGAGTGCTACATTCACATCCATCTCCCTGGAGCTTCTAGGAGCCCAAAAATCACAGGAGCCAGAAACAAATGAAGCAGAAGATCTTTTTATTGGAAAGTAGATGAGAAAGTCAGGGACATGCTTGGGCATCCAGAATGGAAGAATGGGCAACGCATGAAAGCCTGGTGCTACCGGTAGCTGGGACTACAGAGAGGCCTGCAGGCCTGGGCCAGGGACAGGAGCAGCCAGGACAGGATCCACCTGGTGGGGGGGAAAAGAATCAGCAATATAACTCAACAGGGCAAAGCACTCTGGTTTTTCTCCGGTACCAGGAACCGAACTCACGACCTTGCGCTTGCTAGGCAGGCGCTTTTGCAGCTGAGCTAAATCCCCAGCCCCAGGGCAAAGCACTCTGATCCAGTGAAGAGTCAAGGGCATCCTTCTCTGCACCTTGTTTACGGCCTCTGAGATCTCTCACAATCTCCTTCTATTCAGTGCTTCCCCATTTCCTCCTTCCCGCCACCCCACCACTCGACCTTTCCTATGAGCAGGAGCTAGAGCTCACCTTAAAGGAGTCAAACATGCTGACTGTGACTTTTCGCAGGATCCCCAACATTAGCTGAGTCTTGATCTTCAACTGAAACTAGTTCTTCCATGGAATCATGTCGTTTGAGCCGAAGGTGTCCTTTTAAAGGATCGAGACCACCCACTGAACCTGCGTCGTCCACGGAATCTTCTTTGAACCGAATGTGACTTTTCTCAAGGTGTTCGTGCCGCACTGAAACTCGTTCTCCTGTGGGGTCATCTTTCTCCCAGAAGCGGCGTTTGTCAAAATCTTGACCTCGGCTTGATTCTGTTTCTTCCACTTCTTTGTGCCAAACACGGCTTATCAGAGGGTCTTGTGATCTAACAGGAGCTGTTAGGAAAGAAATGTACTCACAGTTAGATCCATTATGCCCGTCTCATTACCATGTCTTTCCTTTTGATCCAGCCAGTGCTCCCTGCAGTCTGCCTCAAACCATGCCCAGAAGCAGAGGAGATACTCCAAGGATAGCTGGCATCTGTGCCTTTGAAGGCTGTTCTCTTCTCTGTGTGGGCAAGAGCTGCAAGACCACTGTTCTTCAAGTGTTTGTTTCTTCCTCTGTCCACCCTTCCCTGTTTCTCAGGAACTGGTCCCAGACTGAGCTGACACCCTGACACGAGAAGGACACTTTGTCATTTCTTAGGAAGCTTGGTGAAGGAAGAAAGGGTCCTTGGTCACCAGGGAACTTGAGTTCCAAGCTTGCGCTGGAAATTATTTTGACAATGTTTTACTCCTCTCCCCATCTCCGCTTCTGTTTTGTGAAACAGAGGTCCTCTACTGGGGTTACTTCTCTGTTTCTTAACCACCTATTAGGGGACAGGTTATTTGGGTGCTTTTACAGGGCAGGCAGGCAGGGGACAGAGTCACACTTGGGACTCAGAGTCCACACTCAGTACACCCAGTGGGTGCTGGGCTTGTCACTTTGTTGCATCTTCTGCACTGATAATGATCCCTGAGGCAAGGCCACATGACAGTACTGTATAAAAGATGCTCAGATCTCAGTCACTGGGTTGGGAAGTGTGGGAAGTCTACTGCTTGGCTTTCTGCTTTCTCTGGACCTGAAGGAAATGACCGCAAGGCTGAAGTGTGAGCTCCACCCCTGCCTCCTGCTCTAAAGGTGCTTTCTATCTGGACCCAAGAGTTCCCTGAGAATTTTGTCCCCTCTACCTCAGCTCCATCAGGTCTCCCACTCACTCAACTTCTATGACAGCTGCTTCTGTTGCCCTTTGCCATTTTATAGGTGACCTTTGAGATGCACCAAAAAATTAATTGGGAGGTGGAAGTTTGGAACATGAGATGATGTTCTTAAAATCACAGTATACTGAGTGGGAGAAACAACTCCAATATTTAAAAAATAAAACACAAGTCATGTATAAGATGGATGTTTTCAGTGTCTAACATGCCTTCGTCCTTTGTACAACAGCACCTTGCCTCTTCTGAAAAAAATTTTTTTAATCTACTATCAACTTACAATTCTAGCAGGAGCTGGTAATAATGAAATCCTGCACCCTGTCCACAGAAACAGGTGTGTGAGTGAGTGTGTGTGCGTGTGTGTGTGTGCGTGTGTGTGTGTGCGTGTGTCAGCCAGGGCTGATGAGAAATTCTTTATTTTATGGACACTAGAGGTAAGGAGTCAGTTTCCTCTTTTAGTAAACACAGTATGCGTGATCTGTGGATTCTAGAAGCTGTGATTTACCAGAGGTAGAGATGAGCTGTTCGAGAAAAATGAACCTTAAAATACTGAGAAAAGCAGAGAGAAGACTGAGAGAACGGTGACCACAGCCATCCTTTCCCACTCCATAACCTTGGGAGCAGCTCCTTCTGTTCCCTTTCTGGGTTGTGGTTATGAGCCACAATCCAGTGTTCCATCTAAGCTAGTCTGACTGGGTATCTGTCTTTGGTAACAGAAGTTTGGAGTAATAGAAATACCCAGAGTTAGGATGTTACCCAGAGCAGACAGAACCAGAAGTCTGGGAGTCATTGATTAGAGGTTCGGGTGAGACAGGAGGAAAGAGTACTGATTATTACAGAATGAAACCCTGGCTGGAAACCCCACCCCCTGTCTCACTGGAGTCAGCCTACATGCACTCCAAAGCAGAAGCTGGCAGCAAGATGGAAAGAAAGTCAGAATGTTGTAATGTGCTGGAAATGTTTTTAAAAACACACTACTGAATAAATCATTCACACAAAAATGAATATAGAATATACCATTTCTTTCAGGATTTTGAACTCTACATTCAATTTCACTTATTTGAAAATTTTATGTCGGTGAAATCTATAGTGCTGTTTTCATACACATTGCCTTTTTGCTCAGTATTTTGTCTGTAAAATTCACCTATTTTAAGGACTACCCTTGTGCTTCATGCATTTCCACTTGTGCAATTATTATATGAAAATACAAAAAAGTATGTCTCCACTTTACTGTTGATATATAGTGATTAGCTCTAGTGTTTGGCTCTAGTTTGGCCAAATACAATTTGCCAAGTACAGTTTGGCGTTAGTTAGTCAAACTGAACATATATACAATCTATGATCCAGGAATTATAAAAGCTAATATGAAATTAAGATAAATATTCCCATACTTTACCAGGAAAAATTTAGTAGATGTACTGTTTTTATTAGCCAAATACTGGAAACATCTTATATGACTACTGACAAGTTAAAGGACAGATATACCATGGCATATTATTACAATGAAATATGGTACAATTGTGAAAATAGCTGCAATGTAGCCATGCACAGCATGATTGTAACTAAAATAGGGTGACTGTAAACTACCAGGCCCCAAAGAAAATATTTAGAATTATATGCTTGTTGAAAGCTCAAAACAAAGGAAAATAAGGGAATACATATCTATATGTGGAATAAAGTTTAAAATTGAGTGCAAAATATAAAGGAAATTTGAAGATGAAATTTGGGGCAGTGGATAGCTCCAGAATGGTTATGAGCCACAATCACTGGATTTCCAGAATGGTTATGAGCCACAATCACTGGATTTCTCCAGTGATGGGAGAAAACCTACAGGACAGGTAAGAAGAACATCAGTTGGTATAAATTATTGGTTGTTGGTAGTATTTTAAATCTTAGATTGATGGTGAGCTACTGTGCGTGTGTGTGTGTGTGTGTGTGTGTGCGTGTGTGTGTGTGTGTTATATACATGCATGCATGTGTGTGGTGTTTTAAAGTTGGAGAGTAAATCATTGATAGATTACCTTAGTTTTCAATAATCCCATATTGCTGTACTCATAGATGGTAATCTTTTCTATGATACATTATACCACACGTGCCCATTCTTGGTTTGCTTTTTTGTAGAAAACATGCCTGGAAACGGAGTTGCTGGTACAAAAGCTAAAGATGTGAAAGTTGGGCAATATTGTCTTGTTTCTCTCTTTAGGGATTATACCATTTTGTATTCTCACCTGTTATGAATGAAACTGCCTGATTCCATCCACCCTCACACACAGAGAATGTGTCTAACTTTTAACTTTCATAGTTATTATAGGTTAGAAAAGATACCACACAAAATTTCTAATTAGCATTCCTCTACTATAAATTAATCTTTTCTCATTTTAAAAGACACTTTCTTTTTCTGAAAATTATTTATTTCCTTTGTTCATTCATTATTGATTGATTATTCTTTCTTTCTCCAATGAAAGTGTGTTCAGGCTGGTATGGAATAGCCCAGTGATCGTGCGTATGTTTAGCATGAAAAGGGCCCTGAGTTCAATACAAAGCACCCTGCCCAAATAAAAAGATAGTATAGATTATTCAGTATAAAATAAAAGTTAAATTAACTCTTTTGGTATCATAAAAGTTTAGTTCCTGAAATTCACTTTCGCATAGGATGACTCTCTGAGGTTATCATTTTGTTTATATTCTCTTCACTATTACTCCTAACTTTGGTCCTTACTATGGAGCACCTGATTTGTTTGGATAGGAAAACTGACTTAAGATCCATCTTTCTGTCTTCTTTTTGTCCCTAAATTAGTGGGCTTTTTCCACCCTCTATATGGATCCTCAAGTGACATTACATTTGTTGCAGTAATTCTTGTCATTTTAATTAAATTTTCCTATCTGGTTTTCATCTTTGTTGTGTACTAGCTGCTGAGTTTGGGTAGGACACTGCCTACGGATCCATTTTGTGTTCCATCTTGTTGTCTGTGACACAAGAGATTTACCTTTGCTTGATATTTCCCTGTCATACTACTTATGTTTTGGACCTACAGGTGATATAAGTAGGATGTTCTGTTTCCCTTTGGTCCTTGTCACACACTGGCTGTTTGATTTGGAAAGCAAAATAGCTTTGGGATCCACCTTGTGCTATATTTTGTCCACAACAGAGAGGCCTCTACTCTCTACTTAGATTCTTGTCTAGAATTCTATTTACATATTGACTATATCCTTGATCTAGACCAGGATTTTGCACCAAATTATGGTTATTGTCATCTACATGCTACATAATTGTGATTTTTCCTTTATGTCTGCCTAGATGTGAATGTTTCTTGTTTTGTTTTTTTTTTTTCTGGTACCGGGAATTGAACTCATGACTTTGCGCTTGCCAGGCAGGTGCTGTGCTGCTGAGCTAAATCCCCAGACCCTGTTTCTTGTTTTTTACCTGGATGTTGGTCAGATACTTTCATTTATGTTGTGAATGTCAATAAAATTGATTACATGTTCATTTCTAGTCATGATAGTTGTCATCCACTCATTGTTTGATTTAGATCTAAAACTGCCTTGGGATCCTGATTGATGTTTGCTTTTTTGGTTCCGTTCAGCGTTGGCATTCTCATCTATTTGGAAACTGGTATGACCCATTAGGTAACTCGCCTACTCTCCCAGTAATTGATAACAAGAATGTTTAGGCTCCATTATCTAAAAATTTCATTTTGACTTTTACCCTCACCTTTACCTCATGAACTTGCTGAGGTTCTCACAAGGAGTCTGTGGTGATAGCTGGAGAAGACCTCTTGTCCTCAAGGATAGCAACTATGCCTGAAAGCCCCTCTGCTCACACCCAGAATGTTCTGTGTATCTATCTCCCACCCAGCAGACCTGCTCTACTCACCACGCAGCCTCCTGCCAGATGCCTCCAGAATGAGGAGCAGAGCAAGGATGAAGAAGACGGTGGACTTCATCTTGCCAGGAAGGAACTTGACTGAGAGCTGAGCTGAGGTTCTCTTTTATATCTTCCTTGCCTGGGCGTGTCATGGGTGTGGCTGAAGTTACAAAAAGCACTGCCTTATTTTCCTTATCTGTAAATGCTGACTTCTTTCCTGTTGCTCAGTAGGGGATACTGTCAATGTCCGAGAGACTTTGTACAGGGACACAGTGTTAGAGAACTTCACCTTTCTCCCACAAATCCCAGAACATATTTATCAACACAGAGGTCATCAGGCATAGCTTTCTTAATTTCCAGACGAAATTCAGTCTGGTGTCAGGTAGACACTTGCTACAGATTATAATTAATTGGTAGGTGATGAAGCTCTTATGGTATGCAATAGCGGTGAGCTTACGGCACATGTGCCACAGCAGGCTATTTGTATCATTGAATACTCTAAACAATTCACCATCACAGGTCTAAAGTATGGAGCTCATTCCACAGAGCCACCACTTAAATGTTATATCACAGATACAACCCTGTACTACATCTTGCAAAATGAGCTCAAGGTACATACTGCTATAACAAAGATTGCTCTATGACCAAGAGCAATCATAAAGGTAGATGACACAGAAAAGAATGCAACTTTATGAAAGCAAAAATTTTTCAGAATTAAATAGGATATACCACTGAAAACGTGACTATAAAGCTCATCACAGTATAACCTGACATATGCCAATAGCTTACCAAGTTTACTTTCCACTACTGAATTTGAAAAGTCTATACAGTTGTGTTTTCAGTTAGAGGACAGAACAGCAGCCATCTTTTCAGGAAGTCTGCGTGTATAGCCATTGAGCGTTGAGGCTAGACTTGGAGGATGAAGTGAGCTTCAGAGGTATCTTTAAAGGATGGGAGGATTTTAACATGTTTTAATGGTGGTAAACATGACTGTTGCAAAAAGAAGGAAGAGTTTTTATTTCCTTATTGGGCCCCTTTTCTTGAAATCTACCTAAAAATATACCTTGAGAATGAAAACATTTCTTATTGAAGTGTTACACACCCACAGCTCACAACAGGAATATTTGCCACCTTTGATGAGTTTATTAATGTATCGACAGAGGTTGCCAAGTGAATACTAACGCCCACGTACAGGTGCAGCTTTCTACATTAGTGAGAGCACTGAACGGCACTCCTTTAGTTTGATCCACGGAGAACATGGTATGGGCAGACTACGTGGAGGAGGGGTCTGGAGCGAAGAGGCTTTAGAAATATATTTTCAGTCTTTACAAGCTATCATAAGGAACACTGTATGGAAAGGGCATGGGAAAGGCCAGCTGTTTTCAGGTGAAGAACATAGGTACAAATGTGAAGTTATCAAGTATTACATGATCGAGTCCCATCTCTGACCAAATTTATCTCTTTGTCCCAAGGCCAATAATTATTTCCCTCCAGCAGAGAACCTGGGGAGGAGGCAGAAATTATCTTGAATGAAATGTACTTCCTGTGCCTGCTAATCTCACCGTTCCTCCCACGTTTCCCTCTAGATAATACCGGGAACTGCTCTGTTCCAAACTTGACTTGTAGAAGAAGGATCTGATAGCATTGATCTTATTTATGGATCAAAGCACAAAACCCTTATCCAACCCAGTGTATCAAACATGCAGAAAGCTCAGGATATGTAAATAAAAAACAAAAAGCAAAAGCAGGAAAAGGCAAACTAAAAATAGGATGAGATTGTAGCATCATATCATATCAGAACAGAATTCAATGAAATTTGAAAAAAAAAAAGTCCAACCTAGGAAGGGAAGTGAGAGCATTGATAAAGATGAAAGCAGAAACCAAGGGCTGGAAACAAAGGCTCAGTGGTCAATAGGTCTTAGATATGGTATCTTAGTGGCAGAAGGAAAACGTCATCCTGGCACAGTGAAGAGAAAGCTCCTAGAAATATTAAATGTACAAAGTTACCACAAAAAAGGGAAAACAAGGCCTCTAAAGCACAAGAGAATTTAAATGTGTACATTTAGTTTTGTGCAAAATTACTTGAGGACAGAGGAATGATAGTAAAACATACACTTCCTCTCTCAAAAGTAGAGAGAAAATCCAAATGGTAGAAATATCCTGAGAGTGGCACAAAAAGTTGCTTTAAGTCTGCTTCTTTAGCCCCATAAATGCTAGGCCTAGGTTATGTGATATGAAACAACATGAGACAAATCATAACAGAGAACTCATGTAGAAAGTGCCTTAAGACACTGGAGGGAAAAAATGATTGGGGGAATTGAGCAAGAGGGGAAACAGAGACATTCACCAGAGTGATAGTTTGGACTCTCCAGCACAGTCAAACCTACCTCTCTCTATCTTGTTTATTGAGAATTGGGATGGTCTCCAAATTAAAGCAATTACAATTAGATGCGTCCTGTGAAGTTAGTTTCCCCAAGTAGTTACCAAACCGAGAGAGACCTGGGAGTCTTCATTGAGAGAAGTCACACTGGTGAGACACCCTCTGCACTGAACCATCCTCTCTGCATCTCCTAAATAGCCAAGGTATGCCTTGATACGAAGAAAAAGATCTATCACTAGGTGAGTGTGTAATCCCTGTGTTTATGTCATAAAATACACAGAACACAGAATTTACTGTATTAACAATTTTTAATTATGCAATTGGGTGGCAATCAGATCATTCACATTTGCTCAGCCATGAGCTAGATGACCACTAGCCATCTCCACACTTCTCTCTTCTACCCAAATGAAACTGTGTCTCTTAACTAACACCTCCACATTACTTTCTGGTCCCAGACCCTCATAACCAAAATTGTACTAGCAATGTGTAAACTTTTGATTTTTCTGGGTATCTCATGGAACTGTGATAATACAATATTTGTTCTTTTGAAGCTGGCTTATCTCCTCTTCAGTATAACTTGATAATCTGAATTTTATTTTATTTATTTATTTTTTGATCATCTGAATTTTAAAAGTTAGCACATAATCAAGGTTTTTCAAGATTTCTAGCACAACTCACATGGAAGAAGTATACTGAGTTCAATCAGGAAAATGAAGCCACTCAGGTATAAGAAGCAAATTTTATAGAAAACATGGAATAATACCTTCAAGTAAGTAAGAGATATGCCATTTGTGGATCAACAACTGGCTGGATTTTTTTAAGGTTAAAAAGTATATGGACAACTATATCTCAGAACAGACTATCTGCTTAGGCATTTCAAAGCAGACTTGGACATGAATAAGTTTCTCTCCTCTCTTGCTGTGAGAAAGGATCAGGGCTCTAAGCAGAAGTCTTTGCCAGGTGACAACTGAACTTGCAAGGGAAGAGCAATAAAAGCCTGCAGAGTTGGGATCTGCATAAGGAGGAACTCTGAGGTGGTATAGAAGACCTTGCAACCAGCAAAACTGATGCATCGTGGAGAGTCTGTTTATACTTGTGTTCTTTTCACCTTCAGGTCTCCCTAGTTATTCCTTTTTCTTTCTGTGATTATATCATTTAGCATGGTTCAACTGTTGCCTTGGAATTCCTGATCTCGATTCCTGGTTAAGGTCAAATGAATCCATGAAGAACTCTTTTATGAAAGGCCACTAACTCTTCCTGTCTATTCTTAGCAAAGATAAACACCAGAATATAGAAGACAAGTAGTTCCCAGCCCCCAGCTCTGCCCCTGATTCCCAGAGTGAAGATGGAGGACTCCTCTGGACTTCAGTTTTCCCACTGCATGGTGAGGGTGTTTGTCTGGAGCCTACCAAAGTAGAGATTCAATTCAAATTCAGTGGGGAGTTGTGACTCTGAGAATCTCTTAATGTGAGGTGTACCTGGTCCTTGTGCATGAGCTTTGCCATACTGGACTAATATGAAGACATACATGGCTGGATAGATCACAGTCTCAATGTCTGAGGAGGTTAAAAAAAGAAGGCCTGACAAGAGGTCTAGATTGTTCAAGGTTGTCCTTCTATTTAACCCAGGGTATACGCAGAGCCTACAAATATGATATCAGGGTTTCCAGTTTTAGCCTAAATTTTCCATAGTTTGAGGACACTTAGCTTCTGGAGGGAACAGAAAAGCAGTTAACTGGCTTGCAAAGAACTATACATTTCTAGTAATACTACCCAATCTGGATACTGAATTTCTATTCTAGAATCATTGCCTAATTTCAGTAATATCACATAATCCTAGAACCCTTCCTCTTTACCACCCTTCTTGATGTCTCCTCACCACTACCTGCAGAAATGTAAATGGAATTGCCTTTTTATAAAGCAATTTCATGGAGGGGATTGGAACTCTGTGAAGACCCATAGGGTAGAAGACAGTTGCATGCTTTTTGACACTGCCCACTGTGTCGAATTCCCTCCTTCTATTTTGGCAACTCTATATTTAAATCCAATTCTATGGCAGTAATAGAACATACAAGAGGGTCATTTTCCTCATCCTGGATGACTAGGGCTGCATTAATATGTTCTGCAATTCATATGCTCAATCTAGCATTTTAGAGCTCTACTGAGTAATTCAAGAGGGCACAGAGTACTTTTCCCAGCACAGAGTACATTCGTGAGCTCTTCTGCATATGACTCCAAGGGCATGGGTGGCAGTATTGAGCATCCATGACTGTAGTAGCAATATCCTCATCACACGACAGATGAGTGGTGATGCAGAGCACAATTATGCTGACTGAACAGTCATACAGTGAGCTTGAACCTGATCATCACACTTTCATAACTGCATGTGTCACCTATTACAGGTTAGGTCCTCTAGGAAGCAGGACCTGAAATAAGGTTAATAGCACAAATGTCTATGCAAAAATATTGGAGTGAAGGTGAAGGAGAGAAAGCACACGTGAGCAGAGCACACTGTGACCACAACTACTTGCAAACAGCACTGCTAGTCAAAGAAGAAGCTGTGGAGCAAGAACTTTCCAGTAGAAGACCCTTCATTGGGCTGAAGTGGACGTACCCTTGAAGCAAAGCCTTACACTGTCTCTGGTTTGGGCCTATGGATCTGTGTTTTCTCAGCTCAAATACCAAGGTAGTACTGCAGAAGAATGCGCTGGCAGCAGCCAGCTAT